ATTCAGCCAAAGAGGAGGACAAGAGGGAGGAGAGGAGGAGGAGAGCTCCCCGCCCGGCGCTGGAGAAAGAGGTAAGTTTAACCCCTTCCTCTCCCCAGAGCCCGGCGGAAGGGGGTCCCTGAGGGTGGGGGCACCCTCGGGGCACTATAGTGCCAGGAAAACGAGTATGTCTTCAAGTAAAGAGTATGTCTTCAAGTAAAGAGTATGTCTTCAAGTAAAAATAAAAGAAAAATTTTATATCAGAAAAAAACATTTTATAGCTGGTGGTCATTGTATAACTTGTATGCATGAATAAAATGTATGTAATAGTAATCAAGAAATTAATAGTGAATAAAACTGAACAAGGTTTTATGTAGATTACATAAGTTCTTACCATGTTATATCACACAAAAAATAATCCCTTTTTAATTATTTTTTGCTCTTTACAAAGTAACAGTTAATTATACACCTTTCTGCGCTACACTGTGGTCTGAAAACATTCCAGTAGAGTAACATAATTAGGTTGGTGATTAAAGTGCAACATTGGTTGTAAAGGCTTCAGAGGACATATTTTCTGTCCGCTAATTATCAGAGTACAGTGAGTTTCATGTTTAGTCATTCTTTACCTAGTGTTTCACAACAGGGTTCTATGTAAGCATGTAAGCAACATGTTGTAATATTAATTATCCTATTATAATGATGTTCCAGAATACTTTTCTATGTGACCCTTGCTGATGAAATTGTTTAAAAGGACACTCGTGTATGCATTCAACAACTATTGGAATGCATCATGTACATAATACATTAAAAAATATTTGTATTCCAAAAAATAACAGCCATTAAATTATAATTATCCCTATTTTGCTGGCATCTGCATTGCTTTTTGGTGTTTTTCAATGTTCAATAATGTATCTTATTATCTTATTCAGTTCATGTTTGTGTGTATGACATCCTGTTGATATTCTCTTCCCCTGGTAAAATGATGCACATGTACACATGTTGGGATTATTTAAAAGTTGCACTGCTGAAGACAACAAAAAATTGCATTAGGCTTCTCAGTAAAAGCAAAAAATTCAAGAAATCACTGTGGTACTCCGCAGATTAGACCAAAATAGTAAATAACTAAAAGTTAGCATTTGGTAATTATAAAAAAACAAAAACAAAAAAAAAAAACAGAGTGAGGAAGATAGACAAATCTATAAGATCATGCAGAAAGAGGCTAAGCACATTATAAGAGCTTCCAAATCACACACACAAGAGAAAATAGCACAGTCAGTAAAAAAGGGGGACAAAACATTTTTTAGATACATAAATGAGAAAAGAAAAGTAAAACAAGGATTAGTTAGATTAAAAACAAAAGAATCAAGGTATGTAGAAGAGGATAAAGGTCTAGCTGACTGCCTCAATGAATATTTTTGTTCTGTATTTACAGATGAAAATGAAGGAAAGGGACCTCAGTTAGGATAAAGGACAAATAAGCCATTTGTTACATGTGAGTTTACAGAGGAAGAGGTTCTACTGTGAAAAGTAAAGACAAATAAGTCAGTGGGACCTGATGGAATACACCCAAAATTATTAATAGAGCTTAGTGGTGAACTAGCAAAACCATAAACAGTTTTATTTAACCAATCATTGTTAACAGGAGTAGTCACAGAAGATTGGAAGTTAGTGAATGTTGTGCCCATTCACAAGAAAGGCAGTAGGGAGGAGTGAGGCAACTATAGGCCAGTAAGCATTACTTCAGTAGCGGGGAAAGTAATGGAAGCCATGTTAAAGGATAGGATTGTTGAACATCTAAAATCACATGGATTTCAAGATCAGAGACAACATGGGTTTACTTCATGGAGATCATGCCAAACTAATCTTATTGATATTTTTGATTGGATACCTCAAATAATAGATCAGGGTGGTGCAGTAGACATTGCTTACCTAGATTTCAGTTAGGCTTTTGACACTGTTGCACATAGAGGGCTTATCAATAAACTGCAATCTTTAGGTTTTGATTCCAATATTGTAGAATGGGTAAGGCAGTGGCTGAGTGACAGGCAACAGAGGATTGTAGTCAATGGAGCATATTCAAAGCATGGGCTTGTCACCAGTGGGGTACCTCAGGGATCTGTACTTGGACCCATTCTCTTTAATATTTGTATTAGTGATATTGCAGAAGGTCTTGATGGTTAGGTATGTCTTTTTGCTGATAATACTAAGATATGAAACAGAGTTGATGTTCCAGAAGGGATAACCCAAATTGCAAATGATTTAGTTAAACTAAAAAAAATGAGTTGCGGAAACTGACATTTAATGTGGATAAGTTTAGGCATGATTATTTCTGATGACTGAAAGGTATGCAGGCAATGTAAAAGAGCAGCAGGAAATGCTAGCAGAATGCTTGGTTGTATATGGAGAGGTATTAGCAGTAGAAAGAGGGAAGTGCTCATGCGATTGTACAGAACACTGGTGACACCTTACTTGGAGTATTGCATGCAGTACTGGAGACCGTATCTTCAGAAGGATATTGATACTTTAGAGAGCATTCAGAGAAGGGCTACTAAACTGGTTCATGGATTGCAGGATAAAAAACTTACAAGGAAATGTTAAAGGAACTTAACATGTATAGCTTGGAGGAAAGACGAGACAGGAGATAGAATGATAGAAACATTTAAATACATAAAGGGAATCAACAAAGTAAAGGAGGTACTTTCAACACTTGAAATTCAAGTACTGACTGTTTACATGCTGCCTAATATATCCCACCCCTTGCCAAGTGCCATTGTAACAGTAGAATCAATATTATTCACTTCATCTGTCTGATCAGTGTATATATTGCTCATACCTCCCATACCTAGCAATGACACACTAATGTTAACATCACAACTTGTTCCACACATCTCTTGTCTGGATATACATTTGCCACCATTGAATATCTCTTCATATTGATATCTCACTTCTTTAAAAACAATGTAAGCGATAACACAGGCAAAGTAATTTTAGTTTCAGACTCTGCTGCTTTTCAAATTATTTCATAGTTTTGGATACACTTTTAAACTTTTTTCATAGTGTGAAACTTATTTCAATATTTTGCTAATATTTGATATCTATCTATCTACACATATATTTATTCATTTGAATTTTTTTTATATTTTATTAGTTTGAAAACTAAATTATCTTAAATCATATGACAAGCTGTTTGACTTCTTACCTGGTGTTTTCTGGGTGCCACTCTCTACCTCTTTGCAGCCTTTATCTCTCTTCAGTGAGGTAAACTTATCGAGTTTATTTGCGGAGGGTGATCAGCTGACACTCTCGTTATGCAGACCTTTGCAGTGTAGAGCTTAGCGTAGGAGAGTTAATGGAAGCTCCTAGCTCCTCTCGATTATCTCAGACAATCACAATTGTTTCCCATAGGAAAACATTGGACTGGCTGAGATTGTCAATTCTGATGATCTCAGCCAAGGAAGTGGGTCAAGGGCCAAACGCCACCCTCGCCAATCAGCATCTCCTCTGTGAAAAAAACCCATATTTCTTTGTCCCAGTTATTTTTTTCCCTGCGTTTGGTAGCCTAATCTACTGAACACCAACCAATCCCCCTGGCTCATTTAACTTCAAAGAAACCACAAACTTAAGTGCCCTCGCTGTGTGACTTGTCTCCCGAAAGCAGGCAGCAGTACCTGGTCATTGAGTGTCTGGAACTGTAAAGCAGACACTTGACCCCACGAATGCCAGTGATTTGGTACGAATGCCTATTTCTTTCCACGACAAGCCAGAAGAGCGCTCTTCGCTAGGATTGTTCACATGAACAAGGCGAACAATCGCTACCTATGAGCCATGGGAACCATTCGACTTTTTGTTAATTTGGGAACTCCCAAAGGTGACTGACTGCTACCCCTGATTCTCTGGAACTGATCTGGGCAGATGCCAGGTGTGCGGTTGGTCAAAACTTTACCACGGTGGTGATTCGGCTGTGTTCATGGGATCTGAGCACTATTTCGATAACATTGGGCACTCAGATCAAGGCTATCCAGGGATATAATATTTATGGGGGTTCCTATATGTGTTATATATATTTTGGGGTATTTTATGTTTTATACTTTGTACCTCTAGTGCCTGGGAGATAATTTGTTTAAGCATACAAAATACAAGGGGTTTGTTACATCCTCATACACTAAATTCTCTTTCAAATACAGAGACTCCTGGGCATGTCTTTGCTTGAGACCCCATACTGGGGGTCTGTGTATATGAGTGGGCCATTTGGCCAGAATAAAATATTACAGTTTAAATGTCAAATGTCTCGATTGATGTTTGGGTATGCGAATGGCAAATCGATTGATTCTTCTCAAGAACTTAGGATTTCGTCAGGGTACGAACCAGCATACTATGCAAACGGGCTATAATCATGCCTCTAGCCTTTCGGGAGTGTGCGAACAGAGTATACAAAATACAAGGGGTTCGTTACATCCTCATATAGATGCATTGAATCAATGCATCTCTATGAAGTAAATCCAGTGTCTCCATGCAGAGTGTCATGGTTCCAGAACCAGCACACAGACAGATCACAGGAGGAAAAATTGCAATACCGGTCCTTAGAGTGGCTGGGCTATGCAAAAGGAGAGAGTTCAGTGTACCAGCCAAAGTCAAGGGGTATAGAGATACAGAACAACGATAGGACAAGCCAAGGTTAAGGATCAGAGAAGACAGAGTAAGTGAGAGTAAATGAGCCAAAATTTGATAACCAACGACCAGACAGAGTAAATGCGCTATTGGGCTATCAGAAGACCACAACAGGGCAACAAGGCATGGAGGAGGTAAGTTTAAATATGCTTAGACTACTTCTGATTGAATAGTTTCCACTTAGAATTAATTACAACACGTGGAAGGTATTTGACCCTTCCAGTTTTAGTCCTGAAGTCATCATTATGCGCCATGTCAGGTGGCTGACTCGGGCACATATTTAAGCATGCGTCAAAAGAAATGCCAATGGGACACGTGGCAACGGGAGTGGCCACGAGCGGGTAAGGGGCCTGATGGGACAAGTGCCAGTGGGACCAACGGTAAGGGAAGCCGCCGCAAGAAGACAGGACAAGTGCCGGTGTAACCCGGGGCAACAGGAGCCGCCGCGAGCAGCCGAGCGGGTAAGGGAACTGACACAAAGGGTGGAGACACTGAATATTGGTGCTGCCCCATGAACAACTACATTAAGCTGTAGTTATTCTGGTGACTTTAATGTGCCTTTAAGGTACATGGAGTATTGTTTTTAGTCTAGGATATCATCATGGGTGTAGATCTAATGATATAACTTTTGGAAAAATATATTTTGACTTGAGTATTCAGACTTTTTTTTTTAAATGTTTGCAGAATATGATGAGATCAATCAATGAAACCCTTATAAACTGTATTTTTGTTAAAACCATGACCAAATGCAATGCAGAGAATGTTGTATAAAGCTTTAATACCCACCAGAGCAAAGTGGCACAAAAGCAGGACACAAAGGATGTAGTTTTACTTGTTTTCTGCATGTCTCACACACTAACATGCATACACGGACACAAGCATATGTTTATATATAAATTCATATATTACTTCATCTGCATCATATTAGATCTTGAATGAATTGTGGTTCTCTTCACCATCATGCCAGGAAATGAATAGTAAATTCACGACTGGTTCTATAACAAATTAGCTACTTTATTTTAAGCAACACACATTAATATTTTGCATGCCATGGTCTTCTTGTCCAAAATGTCTTAAAGGTGTTCCTAGGTTCAGTGGACTGGACATGATATGCATGCAAATTCTGCTTTTACAGGTAATATCTTTTTCTCATTTTGTCAGTTATGGGATGCGGAAAATGAATTACAGATTATGTTTTCAAAATGGATTCCTCTCTGTATTCCAACTGCATGTAAATATTGTGATTCACAGATAAAAACAACAGTGATTAATGACCCCTGACATTAGAATTTTAAATGTGCTTCATACTATGATGTTCCCTTACTGTGATGTACTTGAAAATTAATCAGAAATTGAAATTGCAAAATGGGTGAAATAGCCTTAGAAATTAGACAATGAAATAGGAGGCGTTGTGACACTGTCAGAGAGGGGATGCATGTATGTAACAAAAACATTATTCTATCCATTTATAGATAGCTATTTCCACAATGGCTTTGATATGGTATATCCATCATAAACATGCAGGGTGATCGGGAGGTAAACAGAAAAAAAACAATAAACAGAGAGTTATATATCGAGAATAAAAAGAGAGACATAAATAGAGACAGACAGACAGACAAATAGACAGACAGATGATATGCATAGAGTTTTATGTTTGCTCTCACATTCAGTTGCTAGTACGTAGATGTACACAACAATATATGCAATTTTGCCCCATACTTTCAAATTATTGCACCTCTATCAAGACGCATCTATCCACACCTACTCAAACCACAACAACATCTAAAACACCATCATTATTTTCCACAGCCAGCACTCCACATCGGCATTTTTACTTCCATGGATATAACTACATTAAGGGTCAAGGTGGACAAGCATCTGACAAGAGAGACAAAATAAAGTGTCTGTGGGAATATACTTATATGAGTTACTTGTCCCTTTTACAAATATGTTTTTATTTTATTCAAACAAGCTGGCTAACTACTACATTACTGTTTACTGAATTTTAAACATGTCAGGAGGCTTCATATTTGCTTAAGTCTCTCTTTACTAGAACTCCACAGCAGCACAGAAAAACAACCAATCAGAAAAAAGTAATGTACATTAAAAGTCCCCTCCAAACCAATGACTTCCTCTTTCTTTGTTGCACCACATCAAGCACAGGTCAGAGTACCACTGCCTCCTGCTCTTAGTGGATGGCATGGGTGATTTTATATATATATATATATATATATATATATATATATATATATATATATATATATATATATATAAAAAAAAATAATTCTATGTATATATTTATGTAATAGTTTTACAAAATTAGGTCATTTTATTAATTACAATTTGCAGGACCTGACTGATGTCAGGATCTTACCTGATGGGGAGTCTGGCTCGCAGAGTTATACGCTCACCCTTGCAAAGTAGACACAGACCAGGGTGACCAGGTAAGACGCCACCTGATCTGTGAGTCTGTGCACGGGGGCTTTCCAGGAATAGTGCTCCAAGTAGCAGTACAGCAGGGATTAGCAGAAGCGTAGTCAAGGAAAGCCAAAGTCAGGGGAAGCCAGAGATCAGAGTAGTCCAGGAGGAAAGCCAAGGTCAGAAGCCGGAATCAGACAGGAAATACTGGAACGCTGATATGGCAAGACAGGAACTAAACAAGGGAACCAGAGTCAATGAACTGACGCTGCCCTCAGGGAGAGGCAGTTTCTTATACCTGGCTAATTGGTGATCAGCCACAGGTGTGCGGTGTCCAGCCCCCAGTGCTGGATACAAGGCAAGATAGACTTCTGGCTATCTCTTGAGTTGATATGGTGGCTCAGAGGCAAAATAGCAGCCCCAGCACTGCAAAGTACCCTGGTTCAAGTCCGTCACCGGGCACTTCTGGGGCGACCTCGTCTGACCGTCGGGATGTCGCGGTGAGAACCGTGACAGTACCCTCCCTTCAAGAACGCCCTCCGGGCGTGAACAGGTTCTTCTTGGAAATAGTACTCCTCATCTTCGGTCTCAGTATCACTAAGATAGTCTTTGTAATCAAAGTCTCCAGTGCGGAGTCCCTTTACAGCCTGGGACTTTATGGTACCAGTTTCGGGTGCTAATGGAAAGAGGTCAATGTTATTCATGGATTTGGTGCACGCGGTAAGAGGCCCACCATACGGCGTAGGACTCCGCAGGGTCAGATTCTCCAAGGAGAGAACAGACAAGAGCGCCGAAGTGCTACTGGAAGGGTGAAGGCCCTGAGCCGCGCGCCTAAAGGCCAAGACTCCAGCGAAGCACCCGATACAGGGGATCCCAGACTCGCTCACTCATCAAGGACACCTTTCCAAGGAGGAGGACTACATACACCCTACTCCCTTAGCTGTCTTAGACGAATGGCGGGCAGAGTACATGTGGGGCAAAGACTAGATGGATGACCCCAGGTGGCCACGGGAATCCAGAGCCCTTTCTAAGCACATGGAGCCCGCTCCTCTGCTGGAGGAAGGAGTATTCCTGGACTCTATGGGCGAGCTCTTATTCGATCCATGCTGCTTTAGGCACGCCCAGATCCTCCAAATGGTCCCTGCCCAATCACCTGGAACAGTTTGTACACTACTGGGTCCACAGACCTCTGGATTGGGAGGTACGAAAGAGGCTCCGGGCGGAACGCCCGAGACCCATGTTGCTGAATAAGGTCGCCATGGAATTTGACAACATGGTCTTCACCTACATGACCCGTACTGGGCGTGACCCTAAGAAAGGGGTCGAGCACAGCCTCCGACTGGCACATGATAAGCTACTGGATATGATGGGTACACTGGCCAGAATCCTCATGCTGGGTGCTGCCCTGGACCCAGTGGCCATACGAGACTGGGCCTTGCGCTCCATTTTCCTGCTGGGCAACACCAACGTGGTGCTCTGCGCAGAACGTAGGAATGAAGTTCTTTTGCATATGGACGCCAAACTATCAGACTTTAGGTCGAAAGAACTAGACCCCCTGGCCAAGGGTGTCCTCTTCGGAGAACCTTTCATCAAGGAGCTTCACAGACATGTGACCCTTTACACTACCTTAAACAAAGCCCAGCTCTGGAAGGGCAGACCGTAACAGTTCACGTGCCTACCATTCGGCCTCAGCTCGGCACCGTGTTGTTTCACCAAACTGCTAAAACCGGTGACAGCACGACTCCGATGCACGGTTGTTTGTTGTATCATCTATCTGGACAACCTACTGATATTTTGCGAGAGCCCTCCATACTGAAATCTCAGACGCTCTCTGCAATTTCCTTGATCTCCTTGTTCGAATCGCTTGGTTTCGTGGTCAACCGGGAGAAATCGTCCCTAACTCCGACACAGGTGATCGACTTCTTGGGTTTCAAATAGACGCAGCGGAGTGCCTCCTTTGCCTTCCTCAGTCCAAAGATCACCACCATTCGGAAGGAAATCCGGAGGATACTGCCGGATTCCACTCCGAGTGCTGACTCGCATAGTAGGCCTCCTCTCTGCATCGATCAAGGCAATCTACCCGGGCCCCCTTCACTGCAGGGCCCTGCAATGCCTGAAGACCCACTTCCAATGCAGGAAACCCTCCTACAACCCAGTTATTCCGAACTTCGCTGGTGGATACTTTACATGTCCTCCTGGAATGACAAGGCAATTTTCGAACCAACTCCGGATTTTGTATTGGAGTTGGACGCGAGTCTTTAGGGCTGGGGAGCCGCTTGTGCGACCGGCTCCACGGGACGCCTCTGGTTGGAATTGGAGATGGAGTACCACATCAATTGCCTGAAAACTGATTGCAAGCTCATTTGCAATTCGGAGCCTTACGAACCACCTTTCGGATTGTTGCCTTTTACTCAGGATGGACAACGTATCGGCGGTGCAATACATCAACCGCTTAGGAGGTGACAAAGGAAATTTACAGCTTCTGCTTCCAACGCAACATTACTCTCCAGGTGGAGTAACTCCCGGGAGTGCCGAACCTGACGGCAAACTGGTTTTCCAGACATTTGAGGGACGCCAGCGATTGGAGGTTCCTTCGTCCAGTGTTCCTCGATCAAGATCGCGGATCAGAGGGGCCGTTCACTGTGGACCTATTCACCTCCAGGACAAACTTCTTCATAATTGTCCACTTCAGGGAGCTTATGCGTTTCCTCCGTTCACTATGATTTCAAGAGTCCTGCTGCAAGTACGTCGTCAGCGGGTGTCATTAGTGTTACTAACCCCCCTTTGTCAAGACCAGGCTTTGTTCCTGGAACTTATGGAACTTTCACAACAGGGCCAGCTCCACCTGCAATTCCTGCAGATGCTCCTTTTAGACCCACGGGGCAACCCCCATCCTCTCGTGGTGGAGGGCCACCTCCGCTTAGTAGCCTAGACTCTTTCAGGGGAATCTGGAATGTCGACAACCTTTTGCAGTTGGCTAGGAACCTCCTCTGGGGCTTCTGGGACGAGGAGATGCTACTTATTTGCATGGAACATTTGGTGTCTCTGGTGCCTGGAACAGAAAACTGATTCCTTTACGGCCCCTGTTTCCAGTGTTTTGAACTTCTTGTCTCACTTGCTTGACCTGGGTTGTTTGTATTGTTCGGTCAAGGTAGCAAGGTCGGCGATATCGGTGGCTCATATGCCTCTCCGGGGTTCCTCCATTGATCAAGACCTGTTTGTTTGCAGACTTCTCAGAGGCATCAGACTAGCTCGACCTCTGGCACCTAAGTACTCCACCCTCTGGGATGTCCATACGGTCTTGTAGTTTCTGCAGGGGTGGCCGGATAATCAGGACCTGTCCCTCTGACAACTTTAAGCTAAATTCGCTCTCCTGCTTTGCCTCATCTCCTTTCGCAGGCTTTCGATGTGTTCTCCTTCTCACCCGAGGGGGTGACCTTCTCGGTGTCTAGATGTACCAAGTCAGACTCGACGGCTATCTTCTACCCTTATTTCCGAGATTCACCCAAGCTCTGTGTGGTGGCAGCTCTGTCTCATTATGTGGAGGTTACGACTCCACTTCGCTCTTCTCGTTCATGGCAATTGCTGGTCTCCCACGGTCTATTCACAAACCGGTCTATTCTATAACCTTGGCGCGATGGATCAGATGGTTGTTGTCTTTGGCAGCCGTGGATTCATCTTTTGGAGTGCATTCAGTTAGGGGCGCGGCGGCATCTGGCACCCTGGTGGCTGGCGTGTCGCTTCACGACATCCTACGTTTGGCGGATTGGTCTCAAGCAATTTTATTTCAGATCGGCTGTTCATGCTTCGTTGGCCTTGTTGGCTGAGCATTAAAACAGCAAATATGAAGCCTCCTGTCATGTTATAAAATTGTAGATTATGCTAGCTTTAGTGTACCTATAATCTTTATTTTATTAATGACAGGAGGCGAATATTTCCCTCCCAGTTTCTTTACCCTACCCTTGTTCTTTTTTGTCGGCTGATGTGGGTATATCAGGTAATTATGCAGTTTTTGTGGGCTTACACTTCTGTCACATATTTTTCGTTTGTATACTTCTGGATTGTTAGAGTGGAATTCCTGTTGGTTTTAATGTTTAACCTTTCTCTGGGTAGCTGCATGTTTTTTTTCTAAGTACATTTTGTTCGTTAACCAATTTTTTTTCGATTCTGTATATCGTATTTCAGTTTAAAGTTCCATCTATGATACCACATTGGAATTCCTTCTCCGTTATATTGTTCCGTTTATACTGTTTGTTTTTGTCACAGTTTGAAAGAGGAAGTAGTTGGTTGGGAGGGGACTTTTTTCTGATTGGTTGTTTTCTCCCTGTGTTACTGTGCTGCTGTGGAGTTCTAGTAAAGAGAGACTTAAGCAAAGATTCGCCTCCTGCCATTAATAAAATTAAGATTATAGGTACACTAAAACTAGCATAATGTACAATTTTTTTAAAATCTTAATTATATAGGTTTTTTTTAATAGAATATTGTATTTATAAGTATATACTGATATATTTTGCATCTACCCTCAACCAATAATGAGATTTTTTAAAGTGGGTTTGCTAAACATTACATTTTCTTTGGTCCAAACTGCCATTTCCAACCTCTGAGCTCAAATGTAGCCAAATTATGAACCATCTGAAATGGACATCGTATGTTCATTTCAGTTTGTGATTTTGGAATCCTCACATGGACCAAAAATAGATGAATAATAGAAGGGGAAAAAGATAATTAGGGGACTGTCCCAAAATGATGATTTTATTCACAGATCAAGTGAGAAGGAAAAGCAGGGGGATCAGAAAAAAAATATCTATATTTATTATATATATATTTAATATATTATATCATAATATTGATAAGTTGTTCTACTACTCATGCTTTTCCCTGGTTCCTTTTTTCACACTTAAATTTTTCTCAATGTCAACTAAATAGCATGAAAATGCTCCTATCCATGTACTGGAAAATATGTGCACAGTAATATATTATGTATACACTACAATATACTCTGACCCATATTAACACCCTTTTGGTTATTTGCTATGGTTACTAAATCAGTTTTTTGGTACTAAAATTCTGTCAAGTGAACTGACATATGGCCAAAATGTTAGTGTTTTGAAAAATTTTCTATTTTCAGGAAAAATGGAGCTACATTTTCTAGCCGTGCACAGGTCTGCTGAATATATCTTTATTCCCTTAATTTTGTGTTATCTTATGGCCTGACATCTGCAGCTTCTTTTGCTTTGTCACTGTAGGGTCACTCCAATTACCATCATACAATCCATATTGATTTCCGCTGGTATCATGCTAGGCTTGTTTATACCACTACATAATTGGATAAACCTCAGCTTCAGAGGTTTAAATTAATATGTAAAGTAGAATGGATGTAAAACATCAAACTGAATTCGAGAACTTGATGAAGAGGGCAAGGTCAACATAAGCTCTGTCTCTCAAAAGTAAACAGCTTGTATACAAAACCAGATTACAGAGCAGCTCCCAAAAAAATTTGGAAATATATATATATATATATATATATATATATATATATATATATAAAGTTAGTCTACAGTTAGTCTAAAAAAAGAAACTGTTTTTGAAACCATAAATTGTAGTGAACAGACAAGGAAATTGCAGCAATTTATGTCTAAATACAATACAGCTAAAAAAAAAATATATCTGTACCTATCGTTTTTTCAGAATTTTCCAGTTCTCTTGAAGACCTGCTTCTGGTTTGTCACATCTCCCTGTTTGAAGCTTAAGTCCCATTACCTATAGAGTACACAAAAAAGCAAAGGTGTTATATTAGCTATGGCAGCCAGGCTATTATTGTGATGTTTTGAAAATACATGTATCAGAGAGACATTTATATTGATTTAAGCATTCTTATGAACATGCTTTTAACCTAATCAAGCGTCAAAATGGACAGAAAGAATATCCAGAATTGTTTTATAAACATCCTCTTTCTTGGACATTTTGAGTCGCTCTAATTGTTTGTAAAAGAAAATGTGAATACACCACAATAGCAGTCATTGAACATATTTTGATACATTTTGCAATGCATGTTAAAGGGTTACTCCAACCACCATGATCACTTCAACTTTTTGAAGAGGTCGTGGTGGTAGAAGTCTAGATGTCCATGTTTCAGTTTGAAAGACTGAACACCCAGTGTGCCTGGGGTTAGTTACACTCTGTTACAGGCTACCTAATTTCAATTCTATGCATGTGTCATCAGCTTGCACTGCATGCTGGCGACAGATTATTATTATTATTAAAATTATCGCTATTTATATAGCACCAACAGATTCTGTAGCACTTTACAATAATATGAGAGGGGTATTTAACTATAAATATGACAATTACAGAAAACTTACAGGAACAATAGGTTGAAGAGGACCCTGCTCAAACGAACTTACAGTCTATAGGATGTGGGGTATAAAACACATTAGGACAGATGTAATGTGAACCTGCAAGGGGAGTCTTGCATGTCCCTCCTTTGATTGGACATGCATCGGCTATCATGACATCAGGAGGGAGCATGGAAAGCAGTGTAAAGAGCTGCAGCCGAAGTTGGATTTCCGGCAAGTAAAATATAATTTAAATCTGTTTTTGTAAAGGAGGTGGGGACATAAAGAATAATATCCATGAGGGTATTATTCCATGAGGGCACAATTGAACTAAAATGTAATATCAAATGGGAACTATTATCAATGGGTTAGTAAATAACATGATTCCTGATACAATATGTCCCCATTTAATGCTCTTAGGAGGGATTTCAACTAAACAGTTATTGAGTTCCTAGCCAATGAATGCAAAATGTAGGTCAAGATAACCGAGATGACAACAATCTTGCACGAGACATATTTACAAACTGCGTTTATTAATTTTTATTATATACCTGCAGCCAACATACTCTGCAATGCTGTATCTAAATGTTGTAAATAGCTTGTCAGCTCACAACAAACAATTTTGAGAAAACCTTCTGCAAATTCGCAATCAAGTCTTTCACACCAATCCTATATTTTATTTAAAAAATCCATGTTAAAAAAGTCTGCCATAAACAAAAAAAAAAAAAAGTAACACGTGTTGTAACATAAAAGACAAAAACAAATTATGTTTGGTGTTTACTCTCAACAACCCTCCTTATATTTGGCTTGGTTTTATTGAAAATTTTGTTCATGATTAAAAAAAATTTAATTAAAAAAAAAATTCAGATGTATGTATTTAACACTCAGCTTCTAGTTTGTATCTGGCACACTGGCAGTTTGCTTCTAAATTGTTTTAGATCTAATAAAATATGGCTAACACTAGGCCAAAATAGCTTTAGTTAATCATAGATCAATCTTTGTAAATAAATAACAATGCTAGAAATCATTTATTCACTATCCTGCTGATCTATAATAAAGTAATGTATTTTCCTTTATTTTTTTACATTGTGAGGCAGATGCCTTCTATTGATTTTAGTTCTTAGTAAGGTTCCATATTGTATATTCCCAGATGAAGAGGTATTATTGACCAATAATGCAAAGCATCTTGAATCTTCATTTGTAATAAATGGCATATATTTAAATCGTATTTATCTTCCTTTATTTAATTTTTTATATATTTAAAAAAAGTGATTATATTTTTTAATATTGTATTGAATTTTTCTTTTATGAAATAATGGAACACATAAGAGTAACAAAAGGGACACATCAGACTTGCCATACCATACAATACTGCTGTATGACACATGAGTTACACACAATTATTAAAATCATCCAACAGTGTCAAGTAAGCTTGGACTTTCCTGTGTGTCATGATGCACACTACTCCAAGCATGCTTGCAACGTAATTTGGGGGGATTAAAAGGTTAAAAATCACTATTTGTTTGCACTAGGAAAAAAACTAAATTATAAAATAATCCTGCTTAACACCACCCACATTATACGCTAGTATCAAAAGCTGCCACCGCCAACATGATTTATAAATGTGGTGCCTTGGTTCCCCTAGCAAATCAGATTAACCAACCCACAATACACAATTTAGCAAAATATCTGTGTCATAAAAAAATACTACTAAGTAGTGGGGCGTGTCCTGGATCCCAAAGCGAGTGGTCACTTGCCTTAGCTGCTCTGCACTGTTCTGCCTAAAACTGAGCCATTTTACTATAACAGAGACCCACACAAAATACAAAGCAGATAAGTTGGCGCAGATTAGATAGCTGTAAACCAATCGTGGGTTGGGATGCAGCACCAACAGTATGCCCAGGTAATAAGGTAAAGAAAATATAAAAACAGAAAAGTGCTGGTGATCGGCATACGCGGAAGCATTTTTACTATCCACCGACGAAATACACCAGCTCCTGATCGGAAGAGGACTTTGTACCTGCAAACTTTCCGGACAATAACAGACTGCAAATGAAGTGGTGAGCTTGCGGTGAATGCTATATTTTAGCTGCTGTGTGAAGTGTTTTTATACAATCAATACATTTTGCCTACTTACCACCTGGTCACAAGAGCTTGTCTCGGATCCCACGTACCCAAGGGGCTGATCCTCCCTGGGTGAGATAGCCAGGAGTGGGGTTCATACCACTCCAAACCTGTAAGGTTTTTACTTAAAGAGATATTTTTCTGCTTTTACTTATTGCAGTAATTTTATTGCACTATGAGTGCTCCCTTTTTCTCTCCCCTTCCCCTTGTTTTTTTGTCTTATTATAGGGACTAGTGATATCTATAGACAGGCTATAAGTATTAATTTTACTATTTTTGAAACGTATGGTCTTTTATTGGGGCTATTACATTCATATGGTATATACACCTTAGAGTCACTTTTCCACACTTAAGCTGTCTCAGTATTTTATTTTTGCGCACCAGCACATTTCTGTTTTTATAACAGAGACCAGATACAAAACTTCTGGACACATTGTCCAAACCCAAAGTTAAGAGGCACATGGAGAAGCAAGAACAATCTAACTTCTTCACCCCATGGGCAGGACAAAACAAAACTGCAGTGACACATGAGGCAGACCATGATGGCGCCGATGAGGATATGGACGGAACCCAGACTTCCCACTCACACAAGTGGTAATGCAAACCATGTTCGATGACATAGAAACATAGAATGTGACGGCAGATGAGAACCATTCCGCCCATCTAGTCTGCCCAATTTTCTAAATACTTTCATTAGTCCCTAGCCTTATCTTATAGTTTGGATAGCCTTATGCCTATCCCACGCATGCTTAAACTCCTTTACTGTGTTAACCTCTACCACTTCAGCTGGAAGGCTATTCCATGCATCCACTACCCTCTCAGTAAAGTAATACTTCCTGATATTATTTTTAAACCTTTGTCCCTCTAATTTAAGACTATGTCCTCTTGTTGTGGTAGTTTTTCTTCTTTTAAATATAGTCTCCTCCTTTACTGTGTTGATTCCCTTTATATATTTAAATGTTTCTATCATATCCCCTCTGTCTCGTCTTTCCTCCAAGCTATACATGTTAAGATGTCCGTCAAAATGTTTCAGGCTCTGCAAGTGTCAAGGGATCATGAGTCTATTGCTGTTATTCCTTCAATCCTCCACTAGTCCTAATTCCAGATGTGCTGAATATAGTGAAAGTATTTCCTTTGTGTAGATATTCCCCAATATAATGGACACAAGCAGTCATATTGGGTAAAAGCAGAAATCGGATCTTTATTAGGCCACACTCGGCTTTTTATACAGTGCCCCTAGCATAGGGTTTCTAATACAAAAATCAGAGGGGTTTCCTTCCAATAAAGCCATTGTGTTTGAGAGATAATTGAGCTCCAATTAAGATAATCCAATTATCTCTCAAATAGGAAAATTTCCATACAATTTTTACATATCACAAAAATACATGACAACAGGAAAATTATATTCCCGAATTGCCCCGATCTGAGTGTACAACTTATTCAAAAAGCGGTTCAGTAAAACAAAAGTTATGTTCGTGCATATATGAGTTGGCTGTGTGGTAGAGGTGGTATTGTCAATTTCAAAAGGGGTTAATGTGATTGTATGGGAGGTCAGAGCTTACAAGATATATTCCTCTTTGAAGCTGGGACCCCAGCAGAGCTACTCTGTAAGGTGTGAGAAGTCACATATAAGTGGCCTGGAAGTCTGGTTTCAGTATAAACTAACACTCTCATTTGCCATATGTCTTGATTCCCTTTTAGATAAGGGGTCCTTTGATATGAACAAGCCTTATGTTCCAATATCATATCCAAAAGAAACATTAATACCAATCCACAGATTAATACTCAAGCCTCATTTTTATCATTTTTAGAATGGGACAAGCACAATCTTCCAATCAAGCCTAAACATAATTTGCGAACAAGGGGATCCCACAGAATGTGTTCAGTAACCGAACAGAAGGAAATAATTCCATTTGAATGCAGGGAAACATTAGACGATACAAAGTATAATTAAGTGAACAAATACGAGGAGTCCCATCTCCCATGACAGCAAGCTTCTATAAACAAGCTCCAAAAAGTCCTCCATGATCCGGGTACAAGGACGTCAGCCATAGAGGACAACTTGGCCGAACAAGCAGAGGTGCATAACAACTTGGCAATGAAAGTGAAAGGCCTTATGTCCCATGTGGAAAGCTATGATGTCAAGCTAGCGGACATCGAGGACCGGGCCCGGTGCAATAATATCTGAATCAAGGGAGGGGTGGATTCGGTGGGCACCAGCGACCTGCAGGCCTATGTCATGGGCCTCCTGCATACCATGGCACCAGACCTGCCACAAGACTTACTGTTGTTGGACAGAGTTCACCGGATGACGTGGCCTAGCTTTTTACCACCGAACATTCCCAGGGACATCCTACTCAGAATGCATTATTACCATGCAAAGGAAGCGGTCCTGAGGGGGAGCAAAGCTACAAAGGAATAGCCTGAGAAATACAAGGACATCTCCATCTTCACTAACATCTCCACATTTACCATAAAGAAACGGAGGACCTTTCAAGACATCACAGCACGGAACCGGGAGAATCATCTGCCTTACCGCTGGTCCAGAGAGAGGGAAAGACAACTGTGATATGTACCACCGAAGTGGGTGTACGTGTCAGGTCTCCCTGAGCAGTGGATTGTCACGACCGCACTCCGCTCGTGGGGACTTCACTTGTGCCCTCGTGGCGAGTGGCAGCTTCCAATGCCCTTGCGCTGCTTGCGTTACCTCCACACTTCTGCTTTCTGCAAGTGGTGGCTTTCGGTGCCCGCGCGCCACTCACATATATGTCAGCTCCCCTTAGTGGCCTTCGGGATGCTGCACGCTCACGTGCAGCATGTTTAAATAGGCACCCAGGTCAGGCATCTGACGTGGTGCGCAATAGTGACGTCACAGGTCAAAGTGGGAGGTACAAATACCTTCCACATGTGATAATTAACTCTGATTGGAAATTAGCCAATCAGAGTTAACCTAAGGGTATTTACACTTACCTTTCTCATGTCTCCTTGCCCTTTTGTGGTCTTTTGATAGCCCAGTAGTGTATACTCTGTCCGTTTGTCTGATTGTCTGGTTACCAAATTTTTGGCTTGTCTCACAGTTTATCCTGCTTTCTCTGACCCTTGACCTCGGCTTACCTTATCAATTATTCTGTCTTTCTGGTTCCCTCTGATTTTGGCTTGTATCCTGACTTCTCTCTGTGTGCACAGCCTGGCCACTAAGGACCGGTACTGCAATTCCTGTGTTCTGTCAGCGTGTCTGGTTCCGGAGTTTGTGACATTACAACAGACCATTTTAGTCCGTACTGCCCACTTGCAACCTGACGTACAGGAAGGTGCTGCTGCTTCACCAGTTCCCGTTGTCCCAGATCATACCATTCACATGACGCCTCCACAGCGCTATAGTGGGGATCTGACACTGTGTCGTGGATTCCGTAACCAGATTGACATTCAGCTGGTTATGAATCCACATTCATTCCCTAATGACAGATCTAAGATTGCATTTTTAATTAACCACCTTTATGGTAGGACCTAGGCTTGGGCTAATTCCATATGGGAGTCCGGCTCCTGCATGTCCTATTCCGATTTTCTCTCTGCCTTTAAGAGAACCTTTGATCTGCCCGGTAGGGTTGCTTCCGCAGGCAAAGCCCTACTCAGGATCGATATACGTATAGGGTGAGCTAGAGGCAAAAACTACCTACAAAATTCAAAATATAAACAAAGAAAAATTAGACCTGTGCTTCTCAAACCTTGCTTGATCCTACGTAGAACCAAAAAACAAACAAGAGTCCTGCGCATCCAGTATAGGTGTGCACACCCAGGTCCTACCACAATTTATTTGAGGACAAAGTTAAAGCAGCAAACGTTTCGAGCAGCAGCCCTTTCTCAATGCTAATGTCCTAATGTTAATGCTAATGTCCTAATTATCATTGAGAAAGGGCTGCTGCTTCAAACATTTGCTGCTTTAACTATGTCCTCAAATAAATTGTGGTAGCACCTGGGTATGCACACCTATACTGGATGCGCAGGATTCTTGTTTGTTTTTTGGTTCTACTCAGGATCAAGCAAGGTTTGAGAACAATTATGCTACAGAATTCAACACCTTGGCGGCAGGGGTGGTCTGGAATAATGATGCCTGCCCTTTCAGGAAGGATTGGCCGGTTACATCCTGGATGAAATTGCACCCCGGGAGTTACCTATTCTACTTGATGATATTAATAATTATTGTATCATAATAATAACTGCATAAGGGAACGATGTAGATAGATACTCTGGCTTCCTATCAGATCTGTTCCCTTCCTCCTGTCCCTTAGTGTTTTCCCCTCCCCACTGTCCCTTAGTGCTCTCCCCCCCATCCCTTAGTGCTCTCCCATGCCCCCACTCTTGGTTGACCTGAAATATCAAATATCACTGACTCTAAACTATGAATGCATGGCACACAAACAGATTTATCTTGGAAACACATGCTAGAGACCCGATCGAAGTGGAATGTCTATATTTCCAACAACTAGGTCCCAAAACCTGGAAGATGCTTAGCCAGACATGATAAGTAAAGGGTACTACAACAACATGGTAAGGGACTTTAAATACTTTAAATACTAAATTATACATAAAATAAAATTTTAAAAAAGTTGTTATACATCTCCTACTGTATCTCCTATAAAGCACATGGGAGGGTTGAGGGGAGGAAGGGAACCTTGAGGGGGCGACAATGGAAAGATTCACAAGAGAAAGAAAAAGGGGCAGATACAACAACACCTTTCATGAGGGCACAATGTTACCACAAAATCCAAGCTATCACATGTCAGTTAGCCAACTTTCAAGTCGGACAGTACCACTTGCAACATATATACCCACGCTGTATATAGTTTAAGAGGGATATCTATCTCAATAATAGCCACTACCATCACATATCATCAAGATATCTCATCTTTATCTGTTTCTCTTTTCTCACTGTTACAAATTAAGATCTAATTTCATGGACAACAATAAAATTAGAGACGCAAAATCAAGAAGGGGGAGAGACCTAGGGGGATGTAGTGTGCGCAAAACAATGCAATTAACTGGGAGGACACGCAAATATGAAATATATGAAATAAAATTTAAAAATTTAAAAAACAGATCAGGAGTGAGGACATAACTGGTTGGTACAGATACCAATTCACTAGAAGTTGCTTTATGTACATACCCAATGCATGTTCCCATCATAGAGTCCTGACAAATTTGCATGAGAGTATAGCCACTATTGTGTTTGTTGTAATAAGCAATGCTGTATTGTACTGTGACCCCAATACAACCCCTCTTTTATTCTGTACCCCATAATGATTATTTCTGATCTCTCAATAAAAATTGACATGTTGGAAAAAAAAATACTACTAAGTAGGTTTCAACGAGTCTGTGAACCCAGATACTGGAGCCCAAAAAACAAGTTAGGTTATTAATATCTTAATAATAAAAAGACAAATAAATAATACACAGTGCCAAACCTAGATAGATCAAAAGAACATACAAAAACAAAACAGGCATATGCAACACTTAGTTCTTAAAAAATGGATTTAAACAAAAATAACTTTCACTAGTGCAAATATCATTAAGCAAAAATAGCCTAATTACATCCACATG